CATTCATCCATCCATCCATCAATCATCATCCACCCATCAATAATCCAACACCCATCAATCACCCATTATCAGTCATTCATCTATCATCCTTCCATCATTGATCATCCATCAATCATTATTAATCATCTATCAATCATTCATCATCATCCTTCCATCATTGATCATCCATCAATCATCATTAATCATCTATCAATCATTCATCATCCATCAATCATTCATCATCCATCAATTACCCTTCCATCACTGATCATCCATCCATCAATCATACACCATCATCCATCCATATCTATCTATCATGGACCAACAGATCCAGGAGAGAAACCCAGACCTCCTCCTTCTCTGTAGAAATCTTCAGCTCCTCCTGGAGGATCTAAGACCGGAGAATAATCCCTCCAGAGTTTTCTGGGTCTGCCCCAGCATCTCCTCCCAGTGGGACATGTCTGGAAAATCTCCCCAGGCTCAAGAAACGTGGTAATCAAAACCTCCTTAGTGGACTCCTTTCTATGAGGAGGAGCAGCGGCTCTACTGGACCTCCTGCAGTGGAGGCTCATTTCAGCTGCTTGGATCTGGGGTCTTGTTCTGGTCATGATCCAGACCTCACAATTACAGGTGAAGGTTGGAAAGTAGACAAACCATTAACTGAGCTTTGCCTTTTGGCTGGGCTCCTTCTTCATGATGGACCGGAGCAACTCCCTCATTACTGTGGAAAAGGCCCATGTCTATCTGTAGCTCCACCTTACAATCACTGAACCAGACAGACAGATACTTGAACTCATCAAACTTCCTCCATCTTTCAACTATGATCAATCTGAGCTCTTAGTGGTTCCACCAAAGGCAACTGGACTTCTCTGGTTTCCTGAGGTCTCACCTCTCAGCCTAAAGACTTCTTTAGTTCTGATCATGGGTTGGGGACCCCCAGCCCACAATCAGAAGATCTTGAGCACCTTGAAGTGAGGTTGTGTCCTCTGGGGCATGCAGCTGTTCTCAGGTCAGTTCAACTTTAACGAGCAGAAACGTGACGATCTCCAGGACTTGATTGACAGGAGAAGCAGACGGAGATGTTTTTTTGTTTTTTTAAATTTGATGGAAGTCTCTCAGAGACCAAACATGCACCACCTGAGCACTTCATGTCCACAAACGTCTCATGTCCACAAACGTCTCTTCGTGTCCACAAACGTCTCTTTATGACCACAAACGTCTCTTTGTGTCCACAAACGTCTCTCCGTGTCCACAAATGTCTCTTCATGTCCACAAACATCTCTTTATGACCACAAACGTCTCTTTGTGTCCACAAACGTCTCTCCGTGTCCACAAATGTCTCTTCATGTCCACAAACGTCTCCTCATGTCCACAAGCGTCTCTTCGTGTCCACAAACGTCTCTTCGTGTCCACAAACGTCTCTTACGTTTTCTGTCTTCAGTCAGTTTTTTATTTGTATAAAAATGTTTGCGTCACATTTGTCCTTTCACAGCTCGCAGCGGTTGTCCACAGTCTTATACCGGTCCATGATATTCAAGACATCCTCCAGGATGGACGGGCCCAAGTCCAGGTCCAGGTCCAGTCCGGCCATGGAGTCGGACCGTGGCACGCCAGGCGAGGCTGTGAGGCCGGCGAGGTGGAGAGAGGCGCAGGACGACTCGCTACGATCGCTGCCCATGTCCTCATTGCTCAGGCCGGCATCTGAGTCCAGGCTGAGGCCCCGGCAAACGTCCAGGGGCCCGAAGGTCTCAGACATGGAGTCCTCGGAGGAGACCTCCGAGAAGGAGCTGGGGGACGGGACCAGGCTGTGGATGGCAGGGGACAGGGAGATGTCTCTGCAGGGTTCTGATCCCAAAGCCTCGCCGTCTTCACAGAGCGGCCGGAGATGTCCGTGGCTCTGATCCAGAGGATCCCGAGGGGCGGGGTCATCCAGGTGGAGGCGTGGCGGCTTGGGCGGGGCCTGCTCATGGGCGATGAACACAGGCATGGAGACGGTGTTCTTCAGCAGCCCATTGGGCCGGTGCTGGAAGCCGTCGTAGCTGGGCTCTTCCTGCCGAGCGGCAAAGCTGTCGACGTCATGCCGCTCCGCGCTGTAGGAGCGCACGCCGCCATTCTGCGGCCGACTCAGCGCCGGCAGCATGTCCATCTTCCCCTGGAGGAAGCCCACGTCTCCGAACATGTCCCCCTCCCCTTCGGGTCCCACGTGCGCGCTGTGCCGGACATCGCCGAGCGGCGGGCTGATCATGTCGCCAGAGAGGACGTCCCGGAGCTTCAGCTTCTTGCCCTTCTTGGGAGTTGTAGTTTTTAGGTACATGGGCGTCTTTGCAGGCATCTCGCTTCAAACGATGAAAACAAATTCAGCCAAAAATAAAGTTCCTTTTCTAAACAGAAACCCAGAGTCTGATTTGTTTTTCCCGTCAGCGTAAACTCCAGAGGTCTGACCTCAGATCAGATCAGTTCTGCTTTCAAACACCAAACAGCCATTTTGAATCAAACTGCTCCTCCTTTCCCTCCGTCTGCCGGGTCGGGTCGGTCCTCTGGAGAAACTTCAGGAATGTGACATCGACACCCCGGAGATCTGTGAGGAGACACGACAGAGACAGAGGGAGTCAAAAGGAGGCCCGAAGAGCAGAACGGAGGAGAAGGAGATTTATATCTTCATCTTCGGAGCCAGAAGACACACGAGGTGTTCACCAAACCGGGTCTGCTCGGCCCAGAACATGTGGGACGGAGCAGAAACTCAGGCCCAAACAGAAAAACCACGAAGACAGGAAATAAACAGATAAAAACAAGTTTTTGAACAAGACAAACTTTAATATGAGACAAAAAGTAAACTTTAATCTATGAATAAAATAGTTTAATAAACAATTATTGTTGAGTTTGTTTGACCTCAGTCTTAAATATTTCAGATGTTTGTCTGTTAGCAAAATATCTCAAACCACTGGATGGGTTTTAATGAAAGCCTCAAAGCCTCGATCTCCTTCACACCAGTCCTAAGCACCGGTACACCTCAGGGCTGTGTCCTCAGTCCACTCTTATTCTCACTATTCACACATGACTGTACCGCCAAGCACGGCTCTAAGGTCATCCTTGAGTGTGCTGATGACACCACCATCTTGGGCCTCATCACCGACGACGAGAGTGCCTTTAGAGATGAGGTGACATCACTGACCAGCTGGTGTCAGGAAAATAACCTCTCTCTAAATGTCAGCAAAATAAAGGCAATGATAGTGGACTTCAGGAAACAGCGTGGAGGCCAGCACTCCATCATCTTCATAAACACTTTATATATCTTAGATCCTTATTTACAGTTTCTTTTTACAATTTATAGTTTTGCTATTGTTGGATGTAACTGGGACCCTGTGTACACAAATTTGTTCCACCTCATGTACCACATGTGAGGTGAAGGACAATAAAGAACCTTGAAAGTAATTATTGGATGGACGTTTCCAACTGGATGAACCCACATTAAGATGGCCGCCACAGCAAAGCAGCCTCAGCAAACACTGAAATAATCATAAATCAGTTGTACGGTCGTTACACGACCCGAACGACTTCAACTGGAACATTTCTCGACTCCATGTGGCGTAACTCTTTGGTGTGTGGCGGCGGGCGATATGCATTCTGTCAGACTTTTATTTTGAAATATTTTCCAAACTTGGCTGAAGGTTCGAACTCGATGAAATAAAGTCTCGGTTGTTTCACGGGTTCAGATGTAACTGAAATGATTAAAAATGTTTATTTTAGTGAGTTAACTGCTCAGTTTGTTGTTTTGTTGATTATCAGAAGTAAACAAAATAAAAATCACCTGAAGGGGAAGCAGACCTTTGTTGTGACATTTATTGATTATGGAGCTGAAAACTGCAGAATATCAAACTTTGTTCAGGACTTTTATTTGTTAATCGTTGCAATTTTTCATTTTCTAAACTAACTTTAGTCCAAAGAGCCACTGATGAAGACGAAACCTGTTGGACGTGATGAAGAATCGGGAGCGGATCACGTGAAGCTGCTGACGTATCGGGGGCGACATCAGCTCCAGACACACCGGAATCATCCTAGCCCACAGTCGCAGGGCTTTTATTTTGAAAGGACGCTCCCCTCACATAGCCACAGATTAAACCAGAATCAGTTTCTAAATCTCACAAACGGTTCAGTTCGTCTCTGACGGGTTCCAACAGCTCGAGGCATTTTATGAGACATTATCGCCCGCCGCCGTTCAGTTTACACTGAACTCCTCTGAAGACGAGAAACGAGCGAGCTATGACTCTCAGCTACCACCACACCAGATTTAACTCAGCATCTGTACAACTGACTGAACTACAGTGACGTTGATTAGCTGCGGCGGCCATCTTGACTGGGTTAACTCCAAACATTAATCCGTTGTAGGTGAAACTTAGGGATTATTTCTGGAAAGTTTCATTTACATCCAGTTAGTGGTTCATGAGATATTTTGCTAACAGACAGATAAATGAACCAACACACACTGTTACATTATCGCTCACCTTTCAACAAATATGACTCCTTATTTATTATTACTCTATTTTATTAATTATTATTCTATTATTTCCATTTTAATTAAAGCCTAAATGATTTAACGTGGCCGCTCCTCTTTTATTTTTTTTACAACAACCTGTGAGTTTTCATCTTTTTATCTTTAAACTGAGAATAATTGATGTTTTAGGCCGACGGGGCATCGTTTTCCCGTTTCTTCGTTCTGTTCGTTGTCTAGAACTGAATGTTGAACTGGACCGACACCGGGTCTGAAACTGTTTGGGTGCCTTCTTGTAATGGTTTCTGTCAGCAAAATATCTCACAGACTGCTGAACATATTTCAAGGGACCTCTCAGCCAGTAATCATGGCGTCGGTCCAATACAAGATGGCCGCCAAGAAACCTCAAGAAACACGAAAATAATAATAATTCAGCCGATTTCACACTGAGCCAAAGCTTAGTCTGGTAGTAGCTGAGAGTCACTCACAATTTACACTCTGAAGGCTCCTGATTGCTCAACAGTCAGCCTGCTGGGAAAAAAGTCGCACAGCTGAGGCGTGTAAATACAGAACCACGAACGAATGCCCCGTTTACCTCGTCACACGGAGCAACTGGACCGACTTGCTCGTGTTTCAAGAGAAAATTTAGAGGCTTCAACGCAAAAATCCACAAAGACCTGAAGAAACAGCAGCGTCTGCGCCACACGCTCATAAAAACACCAGCCGGGCTCAGTTCAGGCCCAGAGTCGTCCAGAACAGAACCGTCCAACCAACACAGAAGAAAGAAATTAAAAGCCACCATGAACACGCCCGGATATCAATCAGAACCACAACAAGGCCGGACAGAACCCATAAGAACCACAACAAGGGCGTTCTAAAGAGAAAGTTCTCCATAAAAACGAGACTAAAAATGAAACCAAAAACATTTAGTACATTTAAAAACAGCATCAATTTAAAACAGCATCATTTAAAAACAGCATCATTTTAAAACAGCATCATTTTAAAACAGCATCATTTAAAAACAGCATCATTTAAAAACAGCATCATTTAAAAACAGCATCATTTTAAAACAGCATCATTTAAAAACAGCATCATTTAAAAACAGCGGTCCAAAACAATCGATCATCACAACAATCAAATGTTTTGGACCAGATAGCCAACTTGCTACTCACAGAAACAGACTTCTTCTTGATGTGAAAACATAAAATAAACAAGAGATGTTTAGTGCTGAAGAACTTGCTGAAAAACAGCTGAAATTAGCTAAAAACATGCTGACATGTAGCTGAAATGGAAGAACAAGCCTAAGTTAGCAGCAGAAAGAACTCATATTTGCTGGTTTGATTTAACGTCCTAGGACCTGGCATCCACATATGCAAGAGTCCGGGTCTTAGCAGGTTAAATAAGCAGAAACAAGCACAAAAATTAGTAAATTAGCTAAAAAATAAATATAAAAAAAGGCTGACATTAGCAATAAATTGCTGAAAATTAGCTGAAAAGGCAGAATGAATCTTAAATTAGCAGAAGGAAGTGGAGAGAGCACAAATGTGCCCAATTAGTCTGAAAAAAAACAGAAATTTGCACAAAAAAACAACAACTTATGAATAAAAGCTAAAAAAGGAAAAAAGGTAAAATTACCAGAAGCAAGTTGAGAGCACATTTTAGCTGAATTAGGCTGAAACAAGTTTTAATGAGTTCCAAAAAAATGTAGAATTAGCTGAAAAGGTTCAAATTAGCATAAAAACATCTAAATAGTAGCTGAAATAGCATAAATAGCTGAAACTTGTAGAAATAAGCTCCTGAAATGAGCAGAAAGAGTTAGAAGAAGCATAAAAATGTTGTATAGAAAGAATCTGGAAGTACAAAACAGCTGAAATTAGCTGAAAAAAGTTAAAATTTGTAAAGAAGCTGAAGCAGAACAAAATGTGAAAGGAGCAGTAGAAGGTTGTAACAGATCTAAAGATTTGAAGGATGGAAAACGAGCTCAATTAATTTTCTATTAGGGGAAAAAAAAGTGGCAGAAAAGGCTAAAAATCTCAAAAAGCTAAAGTTGCACCGATACCAAAACTCATAGCACCCTTCTCCAGAACGAGCTGAACATTTTGATTTATGATTTGTTGAAAATAGCTTAAAAATAGTGGGACAAAAAAATGAAGAAAAATAACGTACGGAAGAAAAATGGATCTTAATGCTTCAAAAACATTCACACAATAAACGGAGCTGCTGAGAGCGGAACAGATTCACGCTTCAGGTCAAGGATATCGATTAAATATAGAAATTACTTGCCATACACTATCAATGAAACAATTACATGACACAACTGCTCTCCATACAGCAGGTTCAGAGCCCACATGCACGTGTTTAAATGTCCTAAAAGCAGCTGAGATTGTCCTCGCGGGGCTGTTGACAAATAGCAGGTAAATAAAAACACAGGCGCTCACCTGTTCCTGACCCGTTTAGTAACCGTCCAGAACCGTCACGTACGAACACGTGTACTGTTACAACTACCCACAACAGGTACAGTAAGAAATGTTCATGCACGGTCAATAAAACCCACTTTAAAAGATCTGAACTATCCCTTTACCTCCTGCCAGCTGTAAACGTTTACTTTACTTGATTCTATAGAAAAGGAGAGGGAAGAATAAAGAATTAAATCAGGTAAATGTTGTAAAGGTAGACCTCAGCTCGTGTTTACACGTTCAGGTGTTTTTAAAAACGTTTATGTTTTAAAGGCGCAGCCACACATTGTGTGTTCACATGAATAAATCTGTTTTTTTTTTTATTTCATTAAGAAAAATAATCCCTCTGAGATTACATCATCCCGTCTGCATCAGGGAGGAATAAAA